CACTTTTCAAATACATTAACATTGTGACACACAAAAATCAATTTATTTCACACAATCACAACATAGCATATGCTCTTAAGGGAAAGAAAGCAGAAAGAAATCAAATTAAACATTAAAACAGCAGATTACCTTCAAACCATATATGAAACAGACCGCAAGGGTTAAATCATTTTCAAGGGCTATACACACTGGCCTTCAACCCAGGCAACTCCAGAGCTTGCTTGTCCAGTCTGTTTCTTTCTCTCATTCTAGAGAACAGAATAAAGAAATTGCTTCGTCGCACACTTACAAATTCACAGCCAATCTCTGGCATGTATTCCACACTAGTTGCTTTCTGTCCCCTTTTTTTGCAGCCCATAGCCTGTGGTACTAGGTCCTAATTTCATTCTAGGTGCTTGAGACCTTTTCCTTCTCCTTTGGTAGGATTGAGTAAGTCTCTGTGCTTAGGGTGGCCAGCAACAACTTATTCTCTTCTGTCTCATCAAAACTGTGGGTCCCACATTTTAATTAATCATGAAAATGAGCACACAACTCTTGCCTTTGTGTCAGTTTCCCCATCCCGAAGACTGCCTTCTCCAGTTTCTTGGAAATAAATGGGACTGCAAATTCCTTTTCTCTCATTTCCCTGTTGTCTGTTATGAGTTCCTTCCTTTTCCCAGTTAGTTGCAGAGCACAACTGATCCCTCTTTTGTGCTGTAACTTACCATTGAAACCACTAATGATTTTGACACACAATAAATGGTCTGCCCTGGTCTAATACTCTGACTGCAGAATCCCGCAGGTGCTTTAATGTTACCTTTCTCTCTCTGGCTCAGCTTCACCATGCATCTGCTTCAACCGTCTCTCATCCACCTCCCTTTTCTCCTTCCCTTGACATTACTGTGCAATATGCCTTCAGGAACTCCACTCTCCCAACCTGCTGATCTGTCCTACATTTCTGCATCATTCTGCCCCTTTGTTTATCTCTTTCTTTATTGTCCTGTCAACTATGGCAAATCTACCTTCCTAATTCTAATTCAAACTGGCTACACATTTCTTTCTGCTATTTACCCTTAGCTTGTTAGGCCAGACTGATTTCATTCACCTGTCTTTATGTATGAACCCCTTCATCCACTTTCTGCCACGCTGATAAGACTGTCTGAAACCTGTACAACCTGACGCACACGAGGAATTCCACTGCCACCAAACAATGCAAGTTAGAACTTATCTAAACCCTCGTTTTTATCATATCTTCTTCTAACTTGCAGCAATTTAATATGACTATGTTCAGACACACTTCACGCGTGTTCACTTTCACCAACCTTCTGAACACGGATAAACAAAACACCAACTAGTTTTGCCTTTGTCTTTTCCACAGCATCCTTGACCACTGTCATCCTTCCAAGGTAATTTCACATAACCTATTCTTGACATGATGTCTGATTATGTTTTTGTATCTGAACAGACTTTTTGTTTCTCTGTTGGGTCTCTGGCATTCGAACCCTTTATTTTCATTTTATCTATTAATTTTGTTTTCTTATCCATTCAAAATGTAGTTATTGACCTTTTGGGATGCTGATTAAAGGTGTCATTTTCAGATATGTCAGTGTTCTCAGCATCCACCACCTTATGTAGCTTCACCTTATCTCCCCCACATTCACACAGCTTGTCCTGTGGTTGTTATCAGCCTTCTCATAGTAGACTCTTGACCTGTCCGCCAATGATTCAAGCCAGCTGGTCATGTGCAGGGCTAACTGCAGCTCTGGGCTCTACTTAATCCCGTTTGTCTTGTTCCACCCTGACCATCTTCAAATTTGTTCTTAGTGGCCTGTTTGTCCAGCTGCCAGATATGGATGATAAATAAAGGGCGTTCATCTGTTTGGTGTGTCAGATCATCTAACTTCTCAGCCACTAGCAGATTACTCATCTCACAGTCCTAATTGCTGTAGTGTTTCAAACATAACTTTACACGGATACAGTAAGGGGTCCAAGAAAGGCATTGGCTTTATCCTATCATATGTAATCGTAGGTATAATTCAAGAGAAATTGTTCAGCGAAGGTTTCTTTGCATTCTTATTCACTTTGTGGTTATGACGGTTACTCGCGAATACCGTTCATCACATGACCGTAAACAGTGCAAGACAACTACAGAGTCAATGTCTCATCAGAAGGCTGGACCAGTCTCTGATTGGAATAAATGCATTCCATCCTATTTACAACAAATATCGCCCTGTTACATTAACAAGTTTCTACTTTTACGTACCCATTTTCATGGTTATGTCTCTTCATGTAGCTCTCATTGTCTCCTATATGTCTGTACAGCTTAAAATTAAGCTTCTATTCAGCATGGTTTTGCTTTAACCTTTTTAGCCTTAGCCATGCCCTTCCATATATCTATCTAGGTGCCTAATTAATTTTTGTATCAACCATGTGTACTAGAAAACACAACAGCTGCATTTCAGAGGTTGTTGCTAGACAACCATAAGCATTTTGAACCGACTGGCTTTGCATCCAATTTTGTCAAGCAATTAAAGTTGTAAAAACATCCCTTTATTTTTCTCAAAGGCTTTACTTGCATACTTGCTCCAAAGTCATCAGACAATTTATAAACAGTAGTTGAACCACAATGCACTTCAATCTTTTGACTTTTCAGTTCCAAGAAGTCGTATGATAAACTTTCTGCAACACAGTGATTGGCCAAATCTATCCACCAGCTCATTCAGCTCTCTTGAATGTTTTCTAAACAGATCATTCAGTTACCTGCTTTTTGGAATGTTATTAGTTTCCTGTACTGTGAAGACTGAGTTCTTATTAACTCCTCTGCCATTTCCTGGTTCTCCATTCTTATTTCCCCATCCTCACTTTCTAAAAGGCTAGTATTCATGATGGCCTCTCTTTTTTCCTTTTTTAATATTTAAATAAATTCTTCTGTCTGCTTTTATATTCCTAACTAGTTAGCCTTCTTAGTTTATTTTCTCCATCTTTATTATTTTTGGTGATGTTATGTTGGCTTTTAAAACACTCCCACCCTCTAGTTTATCTCTAATCTTTGCCACATTGTACATTTTTTTCTTTCAGTTTGACGCTATCCTTAACTTTCATCATTAACTATGGTTGGTTTATTCCCTTTATAGAATCCTCCTTCCTCACTGGGATATATCTTTGCTGTGAGTCATGAATTATTTGCTTAAACATCTGGCATTGTCTCTTAACCATCTTTTCTGCTAATTTCCTTTCTCAGTTCACTCCAGCCATTCTGCCACCGCTCCCCCATGTATTTACCCTTGTATAAGATTTTAGCACAGTTTTTACCTAGTTAAGTTTCTCAGTCTCAAGCTAAGTGCTAGATTTCACCATGTTCCCTAAGATATCTTTTACTCTGAGATAATTTTTTTAATCTGCCGCATTACACATTACCAGATCCAGAATGCTCTGATCCTTAGTTGGATCTATTGTTCTGGGAAACTGTCCAGAATACATTCTATGAATTCTTCTTCTATACTACCTTTGCTAATTTGATGCTCTGAATCTACATAAAGATGAAAGTCACCCAGAATGTGGTGTACTCCCTTCTTTATAAGCCCTCATTATCTCCCAATTTATTCTGTGTCCTCCTAAAGGAAAGCTTTTATGGTGCCTATAGATTACTCCCCACCAATGTAATCTTCCTGTCACTCTACTGCTGTCTATTCTCCACATTTCCTTTCCACTGCTGCTCTCTGCCTCACCCTTTGTTTCTCTCATTGCTGCTCTTTGCACACCACCACCCCCCCCCCCCCCCCCCCCACCCCCCACCCAATACATACTTCCTCCTCATCTCTGTCATTGCTGCTAAAGTTAAGGTGCACTTTTTAAATGCTAGGTCTAACACATCACATAATGTCATCTCTTTAGTTAGGTTTTCCCTCTTTTCCCTATCTATGTTACACTGTCTATCTAAATTGTCTTTCTGGGAAGGGCCTTACAAATAGTAAACTCTTTTCTTTCCACTGGTGGAACAGCTGTACCGCTGTTTCTGAAACATGGAACATGTGAGCAAGTCAATCAAGAATGCATTATATCTGGCCAATTGGTCAATGTTGTAACTAATCTATTAAATGTAGGTTTTTTTGCATAGTATAACTTTACTGGTATAATGTCTATCTAGAAAACTATGTTACATCGAAAAATGTTGTGCAGTATCATTTAATATTTTCAAAATATAAAGTTTGCATAATTTAAATGAGCCAGTTTTTAAAAGTTACATTGATTTTTTTTTTGTTTGAAACTTTCTTTGTTTTGTAAAATCAACTTGTTAAATTAGAAAAGAGCAACATGAAATTGACACAAAGCAATAAATTGTTTGGAGTGTGTTGTGACACAGCTGTTTGTGATTACAGCATCAAATTGTATTGCATTTTATTTCATTGCATTAGACTTTGATTTCATCCTTCAAAAAAATCCTGCAATGTTATTTGTCCAGGAATCATGATTAGCTTTTCAATCAGAATCTCAAATAAAATGTATAATGTTTTCTTTAATCTAACTTCACTTGCAAGTTCAGTTTCACACCAAATATAGTTTCTTTTTATCATTCCATTCACTTTTAATCTTCTGAACAAGCATGCACCTTGACGAATCTGGATGTATATTGAAATTATTGAACATATACTGATCTAAGTATTTGTTTCACACAAACCCAAACCAAATCAGAACGGTAAGTTGCTTTGAAGCCAAATGTCAAGCCATTATAGAAAATGTGCTGAATAAAATCCATAACTTACTTTATAATGTTTGAAATTAACCTTGAAAAGACTTTCATATTGACTAGTAATGGGTAGTATCTGATGATTTAAATACTGAAATTACACAATCTTGTGTCAAATAATTTCTAAATCTTTTCATTGCCTCACTGCATTAAGAAAAGGTGAAAGATTGAGAGTGGGTGAAGGAGACTAAATGGTCTTTGAGTTGCCACTGTTAATCAGATTATATTTGATTGTACAGTATGGTCTTCACATGTCATCTTTTATTTCTCTCAGAGACATTAGATTTTTAGAGCAACTGAAAATAACACACAATTCGGACATTTTTATCTCTATACATGGAGCTGGACTGACTCATCTGCTTTTTCTACCAGACTGGGCTGTCGTTTTTGAATTGTATGTATTTTTGAAAATATTTCCTTTTAAACGTTTGTGCTGCAGTCAAATTTTGGTGTGTTTTTGTAGCCTGTCTGTGTAATTTAAGTTGTGTACTACTTTTTAAACTGGCTATACCAACCTCCTGTTGATGTAGGTGTCTAAAAATTGAACTGTTTCAATGGATTACAGTAAAGCAGGCGAGTGATATATTACACAGTCAGATTAGGTTTTCCCAGTCTTGTGTATCTGTCAGGTGTTAACTGCACCTGCCATTTCACATCATAACAAAAAAATTCTCCTTTCCTGTCCCTTTTGAGCCTTTCTTGAACACATTAAAGTTTATTGCCGTGCATCTGAGTGCCAGCAGCTCTTATGAACCTTGCTCCTACTTCAAGCGTGTGCTTAGACAAAAGGTGTCCAAGCTGGTGGTTTTTGTTGTTCTCATTGATGCATACCATGAAACCTTTTGAATCTACTTTTAATGTTTAAATCTGTGTGGCATTAATTTATATGTACCTCAATGTGCAGATAGTAACAGATCGTGGTGTTCAGATTTATCGTGTATCCATAAGTAAAAGAACATCTCAGAATATCCGGGGCCACAGAATTCCTAAAAGACAAACGAGCAATAAAAAGAACAGCCATAGATAAATAAATTGACAGTGAACTCACCTGGGCCAGGCAGTTAATAGAAGGATTTTACTTAATTTTGTGTTGCCTTGCAATTAAGCATTAACTTCCAAATGAGAGCTTTTTCCTGCATGTTACAGTTGGTGATTGGGACCAGGAGCAAAGTTGGTTATTCTTTCCTTTGACTCTTCCAAACCTCAGGTAGCATCCTAACAGCAATCCTTGTTGAGATTATTGAACTCAGCAGAGATCAGGCACTGGACTTGACATCCATTAGCTCTTGTTCACCCAGTTTAATATCACATGTTCATTTATTTCAAGCAGAAACATTTAACTGAAAAAAATTGATCCACATTTGCAAAAAAATGTATGCACTGAAATTGTACATAGAGGTGCTAAAGACCTTCCTTGCAACAGGCAAGAAAATTAGGTCAGAGATAGTAGGAACTGCAGTGTGTGTTTTAATGGTACCTACAATGTACTCAAAAACAGAATTTGCCATTGACCTGAGAAAAGATTCCCTTCTTGTTTGCCCTCTGACATACATAAAAATGAATAGCATTAAGTCAACCAAAAATGGATAGAGGAGTAATGCATATTTCAAGTTTGAAAATTGCAACATGATCAGTTACTTAATTTTTTTTGCAGGGGGATTCACCTTTTTTTTGTGAACCAATAGTTCCACCGTTTTTGCATGCCTTTTTACAATGTAGATGCTACTTAGAATAGCGCTGAACATCCTGCAATCAAACCATGTGGAACAGTGTTATCGATTTTCTTTCTTGATCAGTAGACTATAACATGCATAACAGTAAATGTGTAGTGCATTGCTAAACTTTCAGTTTGTGCCATTTGATGAACTTTATACTTAGAAGGTGGTGGGTTCAAGTCACGCCATAGGTCTTGGGCACCAAGTCTAGGTTGATATTGCATGCAGTGCAGCAGGAGTGGTGCATTGTTGAAGGTGCTATCTAAGGAGGGGCTATTTAAACCTAGGTTCTGTCTTTTTTTAAAATTCGCTTGTGGGACATGGACATTGCTGGCTGGCCAACATTTTTATTGCCTGTCCCTAGTTGCCCTTGAGAAGGTGGTGGTGAGCTGCCTTCTTGAACCACTGCAGTCCAGCTGTGAAGGTTGACCCACAATGCCCTTGGGGAGAGAATTCCAGGATTTTGACTCAGCAACAGTGAAGGAACAGCAATATATTTCCTAGTCAGGATGGTGAGTGGCATGAAGCCACTGCGTTTATATGATGAGTCCAGTTGAGTTTCTGCCTATTTTGGTGGTTCAAGTGGATGTTTAAAAAGAAACTCTCAATTAGTTAGAGTTCATTGATGTCCTGACCAGTGTTCCCCTCTCAATGATCCCCAAAAATAATCTAACTTTCATACAGTATTTGTGAGATCTAACTGCATGAAAATTATTACTGCCTCTGTCTAAATATGTGACTGCACTTGAAATTGAGTAAATTGATTATGAAACACTTTTGAGATTTGGTAGTGTTACATTAATGCAAATTCTTTGTTAGGTATAACTGCGAAGATGAACGCTGCTATTTTGATTTGGCTCGACTCCGAGGAATTAATTATATGACTTGGGAAAAAAGCGACAAAGTCATATCTCAGGATAAGGTTGGTATTAATTTAATTGTCATTTATGGTATATGGCCAGGATGTAAATTGTATTAAATGATTTAACCTCATGAGACCAATATAATAGTAAACTGAAGTAAATAAATAAAACAATAAAGAAAAATAATCTTTCCTAAATTTATGAACTAAATTCATAGTAAACCAAAGAGACCAAATACTCCTCTTTTTCTACAGTTAAGAAAATGTATGGGCTGTATTTCCCCATTTTAAGTTGGTGTTTTGTCCAGTGAAATTTATGGGTTCTGGTCCACTGTGGCTCAGATGACTTTTATCTCTTGCAATCTTACGCTCTTTACTGCATTAATTATTCATCTGGGCTCCACTGCATCTTTGTCATGGAATCACACTACAAGAATTGCTCACCACTGTTGGGACCTTCTTATGTCCACATTGTTGGCACCGTATTTTTAATCCCAGCTCCACAGCATTTCAGATGCTACAAGCCAGGATCTGGCCCTTACACTGTTTTCCTCAACATTTTATAACTGATGACACAGCCCAGAAAGGGAAGCTGGTATAACAAAGCGTGGAGCTGGAAGAAGGGTCCTGACCTGAAACATCAGCTTTCCTGTTCCTCTGATGCTGCCTGGCCTGCTGTGTTGTTCCAGCTCCTCACTTTGTTATCTCTGACTCCAGCATCTGCAGTTCTTGCTATCTAAGGGAAGCTGGTACCCTGGTTTGCACAGAGTGGTAGAGGTTGGCAGTGCTTTATTCTGTTGACTGGAAAAGGAGACCATGCTGGCAGACTGAGTCAGCCTGGACTGAGATAGCAGTCGTGGATAATACAAGTAAAAAGGAACAAGCAGTAGGACAGAATAAAGGCCAGTGATCATCTGTGCTCCACAAGGTTAAGCACCACCATCTTCTCTTTGATGTTTTACACTCATTAGCCACCACGCACTATAACTCTGCCATTGCCCATACATTTCACCAAGTACCATAGATTACAACTCTCATTATCGCATATATCATGTCTATTCAACAGCTCTCACTTATTTTATTCTATCCTGATGGCAAGCAGTAACTTACTCCTAAATAAAAACTGAAAGAACTGCGGATGCTGTAAATCAGAAACAAAAAGAGGTTGCTGGAAAAGCTCAGCAGGTCTGGCAGCATCTGTGAAGAGAAATCAAAGTTTTGGGTTTGGTGATCCTTCCTCAGTTCTGCATTTCCAGCAATTTCTGTTTTAGCAACTTAGTTCTCCTATTCTGTGTGAGAGCCATTCCATACCATTATGCAGTTGTCTTTGGATTGAAGATGACAAGGTTTCAATATTGTGTTCCTATGAGTGAGTTACAAGCTCTGCTGAGATTCAGGATGATTCCCCATCCGTCTTTCAGCTGCTCTACATTTCCATTTGACCTTTTTTAGAAAACCATTAATGTCTGCAGATAGCATCAGAGGCCATAGGTCTTTGTAGATTGCCATGCCCTGCAAGCGCCAGAGTGGGAGTGACCTGTGAAACCTCATCTCTCTCCACCCTCTTCCCACACCTTTTGGGCCTTCCACATCCCCTCCTGTACTCAGATACCTCACTGTTCTGTTTTGAATTGCCTCCTTTCACTGTAATCATTCCTTCAGCAATCCAGTCCAAAGAACTCCATCCCAAGATTCAAGTTCCTCACTCTACCCCCCCACCCCCACCAATAAGCCCCTGAATATTATTAAATTACATCCCCCACCCACCTCCTCAAGACTGACTTGATAGAACAGTCCCAGCTGATGACAGCTCAGCCCCCAGACTCCCATCTCCGCAGTATCCAGTCTGTTGTTGTATATGTATTCTCAGGCTGGTTGCATTTAGTTTGCAGGACTCATCATGGCTCAACCCCCAGACCACAAGGTCATGGTTCCCTGGACTGTGGGAGGACTGATCATGACCAATCTCTGGACTGGAATAGGATGGGCCCTTTGACTGAGTTTGGTGCCGCCCCGTGATTGAATGTAGTCCCCCTTGATCCCTCTGATCCTACTTGACTTTCAGACATGATCATTTTCTCGGAGCACATACAATGTGTTTGCAATGGTAGCTGCTGACACATGCTATAGCTAAATAATTGAAGTTGCATGGTGCAATATAGCGACAAATCAACCACATTGACTGTTCAGTGCTCCTGCCACTCCTTCTGCATTAAACAGCAATGCTTGACACCAAGCTTGGCAGCCTGCAACTGAGGACAAAACCAGTGAGTGTAAGAAAATGAAGTCAAGAGTCATAACATACCTCCAGTTTTGTTGCATGAGATGTGTCCCTACACAGAAAGTTACCCTGAAGCATGTGAGTCTTGGGTGTCCCTGAGATCCAAAGTGAAATGAAGTGGCCGAAGTGGTTTAAAAGTTGAATCAAGAGCAGGCATAATGATGTGGTGGTTTGGTGTATCAAGGTGTCTGTGGTGCATGCAAGGATGTTCTGATGTAGACTGAGTTAGATGAAGGCAAGTACCAGCAATTGACAAGCTACAGACACCAAGTGCCTGCTCTGATTTGCAAGTTGGGAATATATGACATCTAGTTTCTCAGAAAAAGAGAGGAAAATTGGAAGTTGCATATAAATGTAATGAGTTGGACTAATAACGGAATGCAAATGCATGGAAATAAGGTTGTTGCTGCTCAACAGTGAGTTTCTGAAGTCTGTGTTTAAGCCTTATGGGTAAAATAGGACATTGAGATTTTTTTTCATTCTTGCAGTATTGTTTTCAACTTTTTTCAATTGCCTATGCTACTCCAGAAAGGGGAATTTCCTATCCTGGTTTCCATACTGTTGGAACCAGTGTCAGTTTAGAAGAAAACAATGTCTCTAACTGTACACTAGAAAATATACTCAAGTGTCAATCCTTTTTCACTTTCCAAGTTGTGAAATGAGAGGACAGCTTTTTCAGGTGACTGGATGGTTTGTTGCATCTTTCTTAGTCTGTTAAACTGGAGTAACTACATGATCACGTGAGGCAAAACCTACTAAAGAGATCTTTTTGAAGTGTTCTATTCTATGACGGCATACAGGAAGTAATAAGTGACTATTAATGATTTGTACTGTCCTTTTGTCATTTTGATATCCACAGTGAAGAAAGTTGTTGTGTTGGTAATTGCACTGCTTTAATTTCAGAATTTCTTGATTTAGTAATTTGTTACCTTTGTTTTCAATTGCAATCATTTAGGGTCATCACCCAACCCTAGGAGATCATCCTAAGTTTACGAACTACTCTTTTGACATAACTGAATTTATGCGTCTTGTGCTATCTGCTGCACAGAAAGTTACACAGCATCCAAGATGGCCGTTTACACAATATCATGATGAGCTATGACAACATGTACTTGTATAAATTGAATTTATAAATCTGTCTAAAGATTACTGTTGAAGCAATCACTTTCTTTTTTAAACACTTATGCAAGGACAAATGAGATTGCCTTTTTAACTGTTAGTTGTAGCATATTAAATTTACCACTCTTGAAATAAATGTTCAGGTGTGTATTTTTTAAACTTGTTTTTGTGTCCTGCGTGTCACTTGAAAGGGCAGGCAAATATTGCTCATTCCGGATTACCCTTGAGAAGACGGTGTTGAGCCATCTTTAATGGTTGCACGGGTATAGCAAGTGCTGAGTCTTTCATCATAATCTGGATTTGTGCTTTGTAAATTGTAGATGGGTTTTGGGCAACAGGAGGTGTATTACTCACTGCAGAATTCCTAATCTCTGACTATCCCTTTAGGTACTTAATTACAGTCGGTTCTGCTATAATGTGTGTTTCTTCAATGTGAATTGGCTTTAACATGATTGAAGAATGCAAACTTTCCTTGCCTGTATTGGCTATAAAGTGATTCAGGCACAATTAGTTTAAATGGTGCGGCTATTGTGCAATTTTCTTACAACGCAAGATCGCACGAGAACTGAATATCGTGTTATATCAGAACTGACTGTATATGGCTGGTCCAGTTCAGTTGTCAGACAATGGTAACCCCCCAGGGTATTGACAGTGTGGACATTGATGGTAACAATAACATAAGCACATAAGAACTAGGAGGAGGAGTAGACCATTCGGCCCTTTGAGCCTGCTCTGTTATTCAATATGATCAGCGTTGATCTCATCTCAGCCTCAATTTCACTTTCCTGCCTGTTTCCATCATGCTTTAACCCATTACTAATTAAATATCTATCTCCTCGAATTTATTCAGTGTCCCCATGTCTGTCGCACTCTGGCACTGTGATCCACAGATTCATGACCCTTTGAAAGAAACAGTTCCTCCACATCTCTCTTTTTTAGATCTGCTACCCCTTTGCCAAAAATGCTGTAGCATTTGAAACAAGATAGATGAGTGAACGGCACAAATCATCGTGAATGGGTATGATTTAGTAGCCATTATGGAGACACGGTTGCAGGATGTTCACAACTGAGAATTAAATATCCAGGGGTATCAGACTGTTTGGAAGGACAGACAGGAAGGTAAGGGGGGTTGGTGTAGCTCTGATATGTAAGGATAATATCAGGGTAGTAGTGAGAGATGATATAGGTTCTATGGAGAATAAGGTTAAATCCATTGGGTGGAAATTAGAAATTCTACGAAGAAAAGGTCACTGATAGGCGTAGTCTATAGGCCACCAAATCATAACATCACATTTGGGCAGGCAATAAAGAAAGAAATAACTAATACCTGTAAAAATGGTACGGCAATTATTGTGGGGAATTTTAATCAACGTGTTGATTGGTCGAACCAGGTCGGTCAAGGCAGCCTTGAGGAGGAGTTCATTAAATGCATCCGCAGTAGTTTTCTTGAACGATATGTAATGGAGCTGATGAGGAAGCAAGCTATTCTAGATCTGGTCCTGTGTAATGAGACAGGAATAATTAATGATCTCATATTTAGGGATCCTCTTGGAAGGAGCGATCACAGTATGGTTGAATTTAGAATACAGATGGAAAGTGAGAAGATAAAATCCAATACCAGGGTCCTGTGCTTAAACAAAGGAGACTACAGTAGGATGGGGGAGGATCTGGCTAAAATAGACTGGAAGCAAAGACTTTATGGTGGAACAATGGAGGACTTTCAAGCAATTTTTCAAAGTGCTCAGCAAAAGTACATGCCAGTGAACAGGACAAACTGTAGAAAAAGGGGTAATCAGCCATGGATGTCTAAGGAAATAAGGGAGGCTATCAAACTGAAAGATAAGGCATACAAAATGGCAAAGACCAGTGGGAAACTATAAGATTAGGAAAACTTTAAACAGAGAAAGCCACAAAAAAAGCTATAAAGAAAAGTAAGATAGATTATGAGAGTAAACTAACTCAGAATATAAAGACAGACAGCAAAAGTCTCTACAAACATATAAAATGAAAGAATGACTAAGGTAAACATTGGTCCTTTAGATGATGAGAAGGTAGATTTAATAATGGGAAATGAAGAAATAGCCGAGGTATTGAACAGGTATTTCATGTCGGTCTTCACAGTGGAGGACATGAGTAATGTGCCAGTAATTAATGACAAGGAGACTAAGGCAGGTGAGATCCTAAAAACAGTCATTATCATGAAGGAGGTAGTGTTGGGCAAGCTAATGGAACTAAAGGTAGACAAGTCTCCTGGCTCCAATGGAATGCATGCTAGGGTATTAAAAGAGATGGCTGGAGAATAAAAAGCAAATGCACTCGTGGTAATTTTCCAAAATTCGCTGGACTCTGGGGCAGTTCCAGCAGATTGGAAACCAGCACATGTGAAGCCACTGTTTAAAAAAGGAGGTGGATGAAAGATGGAGAATTATTGTCTGGTTAGCTTAACTTCTGTAGTGGGGAAAATACTTGAATCTATCATCAAGGAAGGAACAGCAAGACATCTAGATAGAAATTGTCCCACTGGGCAGATGCAGCATGGGTTCATGAAGGGCAAGTCATGTTTAACTAATTTCATGGAATTCTATAAAGACATTATGAGCGTGGTGGACAGTGGGGACCCCGTAAATGTGATGTATCTAGATTTCCAAAAAGCATTTGACAAGGTGCCGCACAAAAGGCTGCTGCATAAGATAAAGGTGCGCGGTGTTACGGGCAAAATATTAGCATGAATCGAGGATTGGTTAACTAACAAGAAGCAAAGAGTGGGAATAAATGAGTGCTTTTCTGGTTGGAGAGCAGTGAATAGTGGTGTGCCTCAGGGATCAGTGATGGGGCCGCAATTGTTTACAATTTACATAGATAATTTGGAGTTGGGGACGATGTGCAGTGTGTCAAAGTTTGCAGATGACACTAAGATGAGTGGTAGAGCAGAGTTTGCAGAGAGATATAGACAGTTTGAGTGGATATAGGTCTGGCAGATGGAGTACAATGTTGATAAATGTGAAGTGATCCATTTTGGTAGGAATAAGAGTAAAAATGACTACTACTTGAATGGTAAAAAAAAAATTGCAGCATGCTGCTGTGCAGAGGGACCTGGGTGTCCTTGTGCATGAATCACAGAAGGTTGGTTTACAGGTGCAACAGGTAATTAAGGCAAATTGAATTCTGTCCTTCATTGCTAGAGAGATTGAGTTTAAAAGCAGGGGGTTATGTTGCAGCTGTACAAGGCGGTGGTGAGGCCACACCTGGAGTACTGTGTACAGTTTTGGTCTCCTTACTTGAGAAAGGATGTACTGGGACTGGAAGGCGTGCAGAGGAGATTCAGTAGGTTGATTCCGGAGTTGAGAGGGTTGGCTTATTGGGAGAGACTGAGTAGACTGGAGATTATATTCATTGGAATTTAGAAGAATGAGGAGTGTCCTTCTTGAGACATATAAAACTATGAAGGGAATAGCTAAGGTAGAAGCAGGGAGGATGTTACCACTGGTGGGTGAAACTAGAATAAGACGACATAGCCTCAAAATTGACCAGATTTAGGACTGAATTGAGGAGGAACTTCTTCACCCAAAAGGTTGTGAATCTGTGGAATTCCCTGCCCAGTGAAGTAGTTGAGGCTTCCTTATTTAATGTTTTTAAAGCTAAGACAGAATTTTTTGAATAGTAAAGGACTAAGGGTTATAGTGAGAGGGTGAGTAAGTGGAGCTGAGGCTACAAAATGATCAGCCAACATCTTATTGACTGGCGGAGCAGGCTCAAAGGGCCAGATGGCCTACTTCTGCTCCTGGTTCTTATGTTCTAAAACTATGACCTCTTGTCCTAGATTGCTCTACAAGGGGAAATATCCAGTTTATGTCTAGTTTGTCAATATCCTTCTGCGTCTTATATACTCAAATATCTCCTCTCATTCTTCTAAACTGTAGTGAGTATAGGCCTAAATCACTCACTCTATCCTCATAAGACATGCTTTTCATCTCTGGAATTAATCCAGTTAACCTTATCCAAGCTGCCTCCAGTGCAATTACATTCTTCTTCAAGTAAGAGGACCAAAACTGTATGCAGTACTCCAGATGCAGTTTCACCAATGCCTTTTATATTTACAACACTGTTGTACTTTTATACTCCATTACTATAGCAATAAATGCCAAAATTCTATTTGTCCTCCTGCTGTATTTGAATTAGCATTTTTCCAATCCACTGGAACCTTTGTAGAACTCAGCAAATTTTTAAATATTATAGCCAATGCATCCACTATCTCTGCTGTCAGTTTCTTCAAGCCCTGGGAACTTATCTGCCTCCCAGTAGTTTCCTTATGCATGAAGAAACCCAGATACCCTGCACTGAAGCATTTTGAATATCTCTCCATTTAGATAATCAGTTGCCTTTTTATTCTTCCAATCAAAATGGATAACCTCTCACTTATCCACATTAAAACTCCATCTGCCAAATTTTGGCCCATTCACTGAATCTGTTGCTGATGGTCAGAAAAAACCCACCTGGTTCACTAATGTCCTTTAGGGAAGGAAACCACTATCCTTACCTGGTCTGTCCTACATGTGAATCCAGACCCACAGCAATGTGGTTGACTATCAGCTGCCCTCTGGGCTATTAGGGATGGGCAATAAATGCTGCCTAAAAATGATGCCCCCATCCCGTGAATGAGAAAAAAGAGAAACTGATTCCATTTTTTTGCCATGATATTGATGCTGACTAGGGGCAGCACATAGGTGAGCAATTGGAGGTCAATAAGGGCAGACCTTAATTGTTCTGTATCAGGTTAAAGGAGAAGCCATTACTGGATAAACCAGAATGGATGTTTTACTCAGCTGGACATTAGGAGAGAGGGCTGATTAAAATGGTTTGGTCAAGCATTCCCAATGCTGCTGAGAATTCAAGAGAAGTGCCAACTCAAAGAATGTGATTTATGATTTTGAGTTGGGCTGTTTTTGTTCTTGTGATGGGATATTGACCAGTTTGGGAAGATTTCAGTAATGAATTGCTGGAAAGAAGAGTAACTTGTTATTTAAAACATGAAGAATTGAACTGATTCTCGTACTGTTTCAGATTTCAGCACATTATACTTAACCTCTGTAGCGATGCATGTGGAAAAATATATTACAATCCACAGATTTTTTTTCAATAGGATACATAGACTTGCATATAATT